TGATGAGCTTGGTTTGGTACTCAAAATTCATGGAGAGGCTGTCCCTAGCTGCTAGAAGGAAGGATTTTATGTTATGGGGTTTGTTAAGTATAGCTAGAAATTTTACTACCTGGTATTGGCTCTGTCATTACTGATCGGCAGCACCTGGTTGTTGTCGATTACTGCTTTTATAATTCTCATGCCCTTGGGCTCTTTGTATTTCACTTCCTTTTCAGCCCTTCAATTACTGAGTTGGTTCTCTCTAATTGAATATAAGATAAATAGGATAAAAATATTGAAAAAAGTTAATGATGACACTACTGAATAAGTAATATCACTTTGGGAAAAATCTTTTTTTCTTATTAATTACTTGAATACAAGCTCGAGCATTTAGTAACTACATGCACACAAACACATCCATTTACATGTACATTCTTCATTAAGTCTAGGGAAACATACATTCTAGGTGGTCGTATTCGTCCTTTTATATGTTGCAGCAAATCAAGAAAAGTGTGCACAGCAGATACTAACAGTTTTGTTCCCATCTTATATGCAAGTGTCTCATTAATTCCAAAAGTCCATTTGAATTGCATATCTTTTTCTTCCACTTCCGATCATGGTTTCATCTTTTCAAACAATGAAGTCTTCATTCTGTTGAACATTATTAAGGAGAAAGATGAAAATATTGAAATACTTCACATAATCACGATTTATAATCATACGAGAAATTTATGGGAAATCTAGAGCCAAGGGAGAACAAGGCACAACCTGGTCTGAGTCATCTACAAATCTGTTGAATGAATTGTTGCTTGCAGTTGCCCTTGACCGCTTCATTAAACTTTCGCCAGGAGTAGAGTCTATAGAAGTGCTTATGCATCCAAAATGTTATACAAGTTTTAGCTTACACCTTAACTTTATGATGAAACTGGAGGTGGTTGTTTTTCTGAGGGACTTGAAATATAATGAACATTGTACTTTGTGGTTGATACCATCAATTTCTACTTTTTGTATCACATCAATCATATGTAGGCATGTTAGCGTGGAAATCACTTAAGAAACTTTCTTTCTTCATGAAAAGAAATACCTAATCAGTTCTCAATAACTGAAAATTGTCATTCATATGCATGACTTTTTAAAAACTTCGAACTTAATGGTCTATTTTTTCATTGAAGGAACATATTTATCTCTGTTTCTCTCCTTCTCTTCTTTCAACCTTTTCGTGGCTTTCGTGCACATGCACTCATGTAGAAACACAGACATCATATATTGCAATTTGGAATCAAGGGGATGCATTGGTGTATGGGAAAAAAATCAGGATTTGATTGATATGACGAAGATAACTTCTTGCGAACTTGTCTTCCTTTGGGGTTCTAGATCTTTGTATCCTGGCTTCTACTTTGGAGGCATATGTTCTGCTTGCTGATGTTTGTTCTATTAACCATTGCTACCTTCGGAAGTTTTCAGCTTTGAATAGGATTTATTTTTT